AATTTATATTTCTTAGTTTCAAATCGTAATTTGAATTCATGTATTTCAAACTATGTATTTACATATTCAATTTACACATTTGTTCCATTTGTATATTTGTAACTGCCTTTTTCTACTTCTAAATATTTCGGGAGTTCCGATTTCTTATTTAGTACTACATTTAAAATACATAAAGCGGTTATAAAAATATACTGGTAGAAACATTACAGTGCAGAAGTAATGCGAAGAAAAGGGTAGCTACAAACGTATAAATTAAATATAAATTAAATAAGTATGAGGTAGCTAGAAACGTATAAATTAAATAAGTATGAACAAATAAGTTCTAAATCCAAATATATGATATTATGTAAATATATCTCGCAATGCGCCTATTCACATCTACATATTTCAATTTATATATTCGGTTTACATATTTCAATTAAATTTCACCTGATATTTCTCATTTTCAATTCATCTATTTTAAGTTATAAATTATGTATCCATAATTTGTAATTTGAAATAGATAAATTATTTGTTCACTGTAATTTGAAATAGATGAATTATGTGTTCATAGTTGTTTGGTTTATATATTTGTAACTACCTTTTTTTCGCATCATTTCTGCATTATGATCTTTTTATCAAATGGAGTTGACGTTAAAAATAAAAAAAAAAAAGGAAAAAGAAAACGAATCACCAGTCATTAGTAGGATTATTGAAGAGTATAATTTATTTGTATGTTTTGCTGGTTTCTAGATAATGAAACAAAATGAAATATCACCAAACGTCATTGTTGAATTGATACAATTCCTTTCACCGGATATAAATCGCAATTTACGACAGCAAGCGCTGGATTATGTTATTGGCCTTTCAGCATCGGATCAGTTTAACGTGATATTTCAGGTTTAATTTCCATAATTTTTTTTCTCTTTTTTTTTGTTTTGCTGATGACGTTGCAATAAACGGATATCGTTCGACCCTACTGTTAAACTATTGGCTGGATTGAAATAAGTAATAACAACATTATGGATCTTCTTAAAAATCTCTTTCGAATGGCGAATATGTCTAGCTTGCGGTTTGTCCAGTATACAGAGAGCTGTCAACTGTGTTTCTGATTTGATATTATCTATTTTAATGACATGGGTAGAATGCTGCTTGCCTAAGACGAATCAGCTGGTAAACTTTGTGTTACCTGGACTTTCTAGGTACCACAAAGTCCACCAAACCATTGTTATTATTATTATTTCAGAATTTACAAGTTGGTCCTATTATTTTAACGACTGTCAGTTTTCTATTTTTATGAGAATTTTTGAAAAATAATGGTGATAAAGATTATTTACGTTTTTCTCATAAGTATATTGGCCAGATGGTCTGATCGTAGCTATTAATAAATTCGATAGCGTGATTGCATTGTGAGTAGATGGTAGTAATTATTAGTACAATAAATTTTATGTTCAGTGATATGATTGCGGTGATTAGCGGAATGGCTTTTATTATTGAGGACTTGATTTTGTAATCATTAGTAAGATATCTGATAAGGTGATTGACAAAGTTCATGTATCTTATCCGAATATTTTGTTAACCGTTTGTTCAAAAAGCAGAAGAACAATTCCGTGCAGAAAGTCGAAGTTGGTATAATTTTACTGCGATTTTTGTTCCTTTACAGGCAAACGATTTCTTGTTGGGACGATCATTATGTCGGTTAATCTCCGAAGATAACACAGGTGGGAGTGATATACTTCCTGCGTTAATTAATGCAACTGCTACCGATATAGTTTGCGCCAAATATGTAATTGATAACACCGAACTTGTTCAGCGATGTGTCAAGTATTGTCGGGATGGTAATGAACGATGTTCATTGAATTCAGCAAAACTTTTATCCAATTTATCGTTACATTTCCCAGAGGCGGTGTGTTTTTTGTTGTTGTTCTTATCCAATAATCTCGTGGTTTTACCTTGGACTAACATATTTCCTGAGGTTTTAAGCAAATTGAGTTATTTCACTCTATTCTCTAAAAATGAGGTGATTTGAATATAAATGTGACATATTGCCAGCTGATGGATCAGTACCTGGCATCCGCATACTTATTTCAAGAAATAACTATATATGAAATATTTTTAGTTTCTGTAGACAAATTTTATTTTAATAAAAAGGCTAAAGTTTTAAAGCCATATTTCACATCTGATAGATTCCATTATTCTCAAAGGGGCCAGTCATATTTGAGAGGAAAACTAAAGGAAAAATTTAATTAAGGAATAATGTTTTAAATGAAGAACAAAACCGTAATAAGGAGTGCACTTTGTCCCACTTTTTTGGCTTTATTAATATTTGCTCTAGCACATTTTTTGGCAGCAAATAATTTCTGGATGCTGTCGAATACTTTAATCTAGCTTTCCTTTCAAAGGATATGGTTGAAGTTTCTTGATCTGCTCGCTGGTTGGGATGGTTTGATAATTTGCAAAAGTTACAATTACTTTTTAAGTATTTCTGAATTGCTTTCCTAAAATGTGCTAACATTTCAGTTGTATGATGCTTTGATGGAAAATTGGGAGGATTTTATTGGTAATACAATAAGTAAGTTCTTTTTTTTCCCGAACTTATTTTCAGTGGGTAGTAAGTGCGCTGAATAATTCTTATTGATGGTCAGTTTACAAATATTATTATTTCAAATAGGCAGATGGGTAACTGGCATTTGCAGGGAATTATTTGTTTGGTTACTTTTCAAAACACAATGCTTATTGCAATTTTAATTGGGAAAAAAATATAAGGACTCATATCTTGTAAAAATGCAATTTTATTTGTTTTTCAATTTTATTTTTTTACCAGAAGATTTCAGAAAGGTTAAGTGATTCATCATCCTGTGAAGATATCGAATATCTCGGTTATGTGCTTGTAAACCTTACTTCAATTGCAAACGTCCGGTGTTTGTTATGTGAAAAGTTTATTCGACATATACTACCATTGGTCGATTACGAGAAAAAATCAAAAAGATGTCTAATTGCGATTGATATTTTACGGAATATGTGCTTTGAAAACAGTAAGTATTGCCGAACTTTTTTTTTCTTTGCTTAGTTTTACCCTGCAACACATAGATTCTTTGCAAAAGGGATTTTCTGATATTCTGGAATGTAAGACTTGTCACATCAGAGCAAAAATTGAAATGTGTGAAACACCACTCTTTTTTCATTCATTTACTTGATGGATTCCTTTTGTTTGCTACATATTCAAACATATTTCTACAGAAAACGAAGAGGAAACTTTCCAATTCTACTAAATGAAATACTTTCCTCCTATTAGGTGAATCAAGGATTTGCTAAAAAATATAAAAGTAATAGTTTTTAATGGAGTAGAATTATCATTAATTTCAAAATTTGCCTTTGCTTTCATTTTTAATCTTTTGAAAAGTTTGACGAGACTTTCCCTCTCCTTTTTTTCCAATGATGATATATGCGTGAATCAGTGGCGGTGTTTGTAAAGAGTGATAAGGTTGTCATGTATCAAGTTATCAGTTAGGAGCGGTACGTTGAAGCGTTTTGCTTACAACAAGCACAGGCAACATCAAACAAGCTACCGCCAGGGAAGCGTTTAAGCCGATTATATCATTTGGAATATTCATATCTCTCTGATGGCATTTATTATCACACTTCAACACACTTTTTGTTTGTTCATTGTCAAAGTGAAGTTTTTTTCCATTATTTACTTTCTCATTAAATGAAAAGATTTCTTCTGAGCTGCAAAAACAATGCCAAAATTTGAGTTTGCTTTCCACTCTCTTTTCCAGTTTTTATGGAAGAAGTGATTCGGAGATTTCGATTTCCTCAACATTAGAATAAAAATCCAAGTTGACTGGGTAAAGCTTAAAGGTGGTCAAATAGGAAACAAACATGTGAATTATCATAATATTGATAGCAACAAAAACCTAATATCTACTTTGCTGTTAAGTAGTAGTACAACTTAATTTCTTTTTATTTATCGACTTATCATACTTTTGACAGTTCATCTCCCGTAACGTTTTTTTTTTTTAGCTGGCTAAAATTTTCTGAATTACCGCTCATGGCTTAGCCTTTGTAAAATATTAGGGAAACTTTATTACTCATGATGCACTCCTTGAATTATTCGTATTGAACCGTTCAGATCTTTTTGTATATAATAGTTATAGATGTATGCTTTATTCCATGCAGTTTCATGAATTTTTGAAATGAATGGCAGGATGAAGGAGTAGTTGAAGTATGAAGCTTTTTTTCTGGATTTTTTTTTCTTTCTGTTTGGATTCATTCCAACCTACAACTGATAAGATGTAGCTGATAAGATGAAGTTACTGATGGCAAAATATTTTCTATAAAAATTGCTGCAGTGAAGAAGGATAAGATATTATCTTTAGCTTCATTTAAAAGAAGATGTTAACGGTGAAGAAGAGAGGGTTGATGAATGGTGAAAAAAATGTGATGGAAGTAAGTGGTACTACTGTAGTTTCTTGTCATTTGTACTGGTAAATATTGGCATAAGAACGGTAGGAAGGGAAAAAAGAGTAGATGAATAAGACAGCTTATGAAGGGATTATGAGTGGCTTGGAATGCGCCAAATATAAATACCACAGTAATGTCTCTTGAATAGAGGTGAAAGTTAATTTTCCTTTTATTTGCAAACAGATTATCTTGCAGAATAGTTTAATGAAGCTTGAATTCAATACAATCAATATACTTGACCTTTATTTAATGAAGTGTTTATGGTAACATTATGAACTCTATGTATCAGTGGCTTTAATATATTAATTCAGATTTCTTCGTCATTTCAAGGATTAGTTGTTTATATCTGAAGGATTAATTTATACATGGGTAGCAAATATGTTAGCATTAAATTTCAAGCAAATACTAATGTTGATGGTTTAATTGAATAGAAGTTGGTATTAAAGGCATGAATCTGATTTGCAAGTAGTGCCGTACTTATTGTTATTGCCATTTTCAAGTGTTACTACTCTTTAAGTGTTACTACTTTTGCCACTTCAATGATCAAGGGTTAAGGGATTATTAAATAAATATAAAAAGGAGTAGATCTGATTAAAGTTGAGTAAATAACCAGGAATTTTTCAAGTCATGTTTGAGTTAGTTTAGATGGTTAATTTTGAATAAAATGAAACTTTAGTGCAATTTTTACATCGCAGATTTTAAAGATGAAATTTTTACACAGGAGATTTTTCGAAAAGTTTGTTTTTGGATGAAGTATCAGAAGCAGCATTTATGAATTTACATTTCGAAGATGTTTGTAATATAGTTCGAAGATAGGATAATAATAATCAAAAAGGCAAACATAGCACTATTATCTGACTTCAAAATTTCTCAAATATCAATTAAACTTCATTGTAACATTCATTCTCTGAATAGTAAAGAAGCTGGAATTCCATTCCCATCAAATTTGATCAAATTTTCCAGCGGGAGTGGGATTTGAATTTTTTACCATTCATTTTTTGAGTGTTTGATATTTTTATCCTCAGTAGTGGAAAAAACGGCATAAAATTTGTTTCTTAATTTAAATACGCTTACCAACTATCAATTTCGGAATGATTGACTGCTATTAAAAATATTCGTTTTTTTTTTTTCTGAAGCTAGAATGGAAGGTAAAGGCATCCAATAAAACAAACTACACATTTGTTCTTTATCAGCCCATCCTTATATACCCAGTTTTTATCAGCCTATCTATTTACAGATATCACTCACTATCACTGTGTCCTTATATGTCTCAGTCTAACGGATAGCCGTCTTTCAAATAATCTTATTAAGTCATTTTTGCAAAGAAATTAACATTATTTCTCCATGCACTGATTGATTTTAATTCAAACCGAAACTTTATCAATCATTTTACAAATGAATAAAGAGGATAAATATTGAATAACATGCACGAATTCCTTTTTTTTGACAAGTTTTTATTTTTCAATTCTTTTAAAATTCTTTGCAATTAAACATAATCAACCAAAACAAACTTTAAGACGTATTAAGCTAATATGAATCACTAGCTTTATTTATTGGTATGAGCCTTAGGTGCGAAGATTTTTCTTTCTGGATTAGTCATGACTGCTTACTTTTTAGTGTACTGCTTTCGGTAAGGCGCTACGAAATCTTGCTGGCTCATCATTTGGCATAGTAATAATTGTTTTAAGTTAGACAAATGCAAGAAAGCCTATAGAAATTGTAAATGGTTGGTTGTATTAATCACAGGTTCAATGGGATTCTCAAATTCCATCGAGTCATTTTTAACTTTGAGCAATCCTTCATTTGATAAATCATTTTCAAAATTTTCCCTATCAGATGAACATTCCTACCAAACTTGTTAAATATCATGATTCACTGTTACTTTCTGTTTTAGAGCTTACTTTGTAATCCAACTTATTCATTTGCTATCCCTCAAGTACTGTTTTGTTCCACTTAGCACTGCGACAACGACTAATTGCTTCATTAGCATTAGCACGCTTATATCAAATGAAATTTAATTACTACAATATAAATAGTTATTTATTTTGCTGCTAAGTGTTTTGTTGTTGCTTACATAAATGTTTACTGTAGCACGACTTCATATTTCTAATTTGATATTTGTCAGTTAGATTTTTTTTTTTTAAATTTGTTACTGTCATCAATAAAGTTTTGTTATCATTAATGTAAGGAATGATTTGATTCTATCGATCATTCAAAAAATTAATTCATGGCATAGCAGTGTACTCCTTGTTAGATTTTGGGTGGAGTACAAACATTTTATCACTGAAACCATTGCTATCTGATCATGATCTATGATTGATAGAAAAAATAATGCCGAAATTAAATGGGAGCTTATAGGGATAAAACAATATGCATATATGGTTTTGTATATATAGGCATATTTATTGGTAGTTGTTCAATTTTAAATTTAGCTGAATAAATTTATTGTAAGCTTAACTAGTATTAGCACTGTGATACTCTGTTAATTAGCTTAAACAGAATCATTAAAATCGGCTTTTAGTGGTACTGTGATCTTCCTTTTCTTCACAAAATGAAGCTGTCCTGTTTTGGACTAGTAACATCACAACAATTACTTTTCTTTTATAAAGTCTAAATGTTTGTTCTTTTCATTTGATGGTAAAAGCTTAATGGTTTCAATGCTTGATTACCCAAACACAATTATATTTGGTATATGGGCCGAAGATGAAAATTACTTCTCCTCTTCTTTTTCTTGTTATTTTCATAAACCTTGAAAAATGGATTGTTACTTCGCAGGTGACTTGTTTCTTCTTACCTCAACTTTCAAATGAATTGACATAATTGGATAGATTAATGGTTATATTTAATAGGGAAAGTGTTAAGATGAGGAAGAGAAGAGAGTATATGCTTGAATTACGGTATTGCTATCAAAAATAACATTCTGAAAGGTTGAGAAGCTAATGGTAGTAACATATTTTGTTTTTTTTTGGAAAGTATTGCAAACAGACAGACTACGAAACATATGTAGGTATATATTTATATATTTAAAAAAACCTGTGGATCATATATGGTGACATTAAATGTAAGGGATGAATCATACCGAAAATTAGCAGAGTTAAATTGAAGATATTACCATGTTGTAGCCCATTACTGCTCTTATTATTATTATCATTATTATTATTATTGTTGTTATTATTATTATTATCATCGTAGTATCATTACTGTCATATCTTTATCAGTCGTGTCTAATGAATGAGTAAAACTCTTAAAATTGAATTTCCAAAAATGGTATGCTAATAGAATCAAAATACAAAGGAAGGGATTAAATCAAAGCTTATGTCATTATGCACTGTATAGGAAATTTGTAATTAAGTTGAAAGTAGTATTTGCTTTTTATTCTACTAATTAATTTAACAAATTTATTGATACTGTAGCACTCATCAAAATACTCTGGCACGATACTCGATAACACAAAAATTGTTAGAAACGTATTTACTTCACATATGAAAGTGGATATAATTACTTAAATGTTTAAAATTTGACTTTTACTTACTGCTTATCTTCAGATGCAGAACCGTTTACTTAAACTCAATGGATTGTAAACTTAAACTATTACTTATGGGTAAAATACTTAAGCTTGCTATGTTATTGGATTTTTGATTATCGGTAGTTACTTGTATAATTGTACACAGTTCGATACAATATTGATGTTCAATAAAGTTCAATACAAATATTGGGGACAATGCATTGTTGATGATTCTTATGTTACCAAAGATATTATAACAATTCTTATGTTATCAAAGATATTATGACAATATTTTGATGCATGTTACATTACCACCAAATTTGCTACATTTATTTAATGGAATAAAAGCACATACAGAATTTTGTCTTAATGGCAAAGGACAACTTTTTATACACTGCATAATGACAGATGAGCTTTAACCTTATTTCTTCTCTTATTATTTGATCCCATTAGCATGGTACTTTTAAAAATTCAATGCGATAAACTTCATCTCTTTTAGTCACTTTTATAAACTTATGATAATAATGATATTGTGGATATATATGATAACAATAACAGCAGTAGTAATATTAATAGTAGTGTATCACTAACTGCTTTCTATTTGTAATCATTATCACTGATAATGTTTGTTGAATCATGCACTGAATTGTGCAAAACAAGTATCCATGTATTTATTACAGATCTTATAAGATCTGCTTTTCATAATTCTTGTCACATTTCTCTCTTTTTTTAAATTCTTTTTTTGTTGTTTGTTTGCTAATTTGCTGAAGGAAGAAAGAATGTGCATGATAGGCACGAATAACATACATTAATTTGAGCTCGAAATTGAAAAGAAAGCGTAAATGATAGCGTTAAGTATGAAAAATATGTTATCACTTTTCATTGCGAACAATCGCGAATGTGATATAATATCCATCAGAAAATACATTTTGGTTATCGATGCTTTCATTTTCTCATTGTACGCTTAATACTAAATACTGATAAGGTATGATGCTAGCAAATTGTTACTGTAAGTTCAAAAGATTTTCCTATTGATTTACATTCACTTCTAAGTAGTCTAGCATAATCTCACGAGCTGCATAATTAGGGAAGTTATTTTAGGGCAAATATTTCCAGATCAGTCATAAATTTACCTCGGAATAGAATTTTTTTTTCATTTAGTTCATTACAATCTTCCACAACTCAAAAAAAAAAAGATTTTTTTTCCTTTTTAGTAAAACGATTGATTTTGGTCGTTTTCACTTTTCTTTATTTCTTTTAAAAGTTTCAATTTTAAATTGGAAGTAAATTTTATGTTTTCCAGGTTGCCATCCGATACTTCTGGATAAAAATGATGAGTTTTTAAGCACACTGTTGAAACCGTTAGCTGATGTGAATGATAATTTGGAAGATGATGAGATTGAAAAGTTACCACTTCAACTGCAGTATTATGAGGGTCACCGATGTCAGGATCTGTCGATCATAGACAAAATTATCGAGTCACTCTATCAGGTTAGCATATTTCTGATAAATTAATCAGAATAAATTATATACAGTTCATAATAAGATGAAAGATTTGTCCGTGTTTTGCAGCAATGCAACATGCATGTCATTAGGCAACCAGTTTTTCCAATATGACTCCCTACATAGCCTATGTCATTTTAATCTGAGATGACTGAGCTAAAACAAATTAGCAGTTATTGAAAATACATTTAAAGTAAAGATAGGCCGTCAATGGCATTTAACTTGTGACTAGAAGTCAGCATGTTGATAGCACGTAGGTAAGAAATGCTTTTCATTAGTAAATCGAACCAATGTTGCAATTAACAGTAGCATGTAGAATAAGAATAAGATATTTTAATTTGCATATAAATTGGGATCAAAGGTTGTTACCTTACGATTATTACGTAAATACACAAATATTAACTGCATCATTTCTGGATTTTTTCATCGGTTTTTTCTTCCATTTTTGCTGTTCCTTAACTCATCGAAGTGTTATTTCGAGAAACGGTGGAACGTCATTTATTTGTCATTTATTCATTTCACACATGTCATTTATTTCAACAGTTTTGTATCACTTTTCTTGTTCCAAATCGGGCATTATTTAGCACTTTTTATATTCCAATAGAATTTACAAAAGATTCTTGTTTAAACAAATTTCCAAGTTAACTTTGTGTCAAGTAAAAGAAGACGACAAAAAACAATAACGATATAATATTATAGGAAAGGAGGGTAGATCAGTTATACCTTATTAATATCCTTGAATGTCATCAATCATTATTCATATTTCACTGAGATTCACTTTTTATTTCCTGGTTTTTTTCTTTTTCAACCTAAGAAGAGAAGACGATTCATTTTTGAGATAAGCTATGAAGGAAGAATTATTGCTTGTTTTGAAATAAACTCTGATAAATCCTCAAATGTCTATTTACCTTGTCTTCTAGAACAACTTTTTTGTTCTTTGCTTTCTTTCTAATACTTATTGCATGCTACGTTTAACTGATTAAGGGCACTCAGCTTTATTATTTTTTATTTACTTTTTTAAGTATTACTTATGAATTTACCTTAAGTTTTCATTTCATAGCATTGCTTTGGTTTGTGAGTCTGCCAAGTGAGCGTTATCATTAATTTATTACTTTAGCATTGGTTCTTGTTGACAACTATCAGTTTTTTCTTTTTTTTCTTTCCGACATGATCATTTTCATAATCACGAATTGATTTATCCAAAAGTTTTTCCATCAAAGTACAATTGTCAAATTCAGGAAGAAAAAGGAGTGTATTGTAAGATTAATTACTAAAACGCCAGAAGTCTTTCTTTATAGAAACATTTTGTTTGGATTTAAATTAGAAATTTAAACACTTATATGGAAAATTAATATTTTAACATCAAATAAGGCTACTGTTGAAAATGGGAAAGTTTGGAAGGGGAAGAAAGAAAGGAGGAAACCCACTCGTTCGAATGTTTTGTTTTGTTTGCACTGAAGATTTACCAGATTATCATCAAGAAGCATATCTACTTCAGCGAGACAGTGAATAATGTTATTGTGGAGGTAGAATGAGAGAAGAGGAAAAGTACTCGAGCTCGAGCGGATCGCATCTACTCAAATTTCATTTGCAACCTGACAGTTACCCTTTAGCACATTTTCTTTGGTAAAACTAGTTCTTTCAGTTGCTTCAAACTTGCAAGATGAATTGACAGAAATACTTGAAAACGGAGTAAAGGAGAGACCGATTTTAATATAATGGATTGTTTCGATATTCTGTTTCCTCTCTTGCAAGTTTCGAAAGTTGTTTTTCACAACAACTTTTGACAAAAGCGCTTTTTGTTAAAACATTACACTTTGATGCTCGCGCTTTTCTATTTTCTCGAATTTACCGCTTACTTTGTTAAAAAAAAAAAATCGGAAATAAAAACGACGAAAAGGAAGAGCAGAAATATTGTAATGATGATTGATTATAATGAGCATGACGATAATAGGAATAGTGTTGATAACGAAAACAATAATGGCATTGTTAAAAATTGTAATGATGAAGAAGGTGTTAAGAGTAACGGTAAAAGGGTGATTGTAATTCGGTACTGGTTATTCTCTTCAATACCGGAAAGCATGATATGTTTGAGAGGAAATATTTTGGAATTGCAGGTGTCTCTAAAGATTTTGTCTATTCATATTAGTTTAGACTAATCCAAAAAAAAGAAAAAGTCTATAGAATTTCCACTTTCTTAAAATCAATAAAATTGTTTGTTGATCAAGTTATATAGTTGTATAGGAAGAAATTTAGAATCATTTGAATCTACGGGGACAGTTGTCATAAAATTTATCTGTAACATTGACCTTTTGCAAATCCCTTCATCAAAAAAAAGAATTGTAGTTGTAGCAGTCGTCGTTATTAGAATGTGTTGCTACAGAAAACATTGTTTATCATTGAGTTGAATTAGCTTGTTTATCTTTTGATTAGATGATCATAGGTTATGCCGATAAGAAGTTTACGGCAAGTTGACAACTCATAGCTTCTGGCGTTAGATAGAAGCTTGAAATAGCGCTCAGAAGACAAAACTTAAGGGCATGCTGCGGACAAACATTATTTATTTGTGGACAGAGAAACAGATATTTTGGATTATTTCAACAAAATGGCTTAGTTTTATGATTGTGGTAATATTAAAAGTGAGTTATCTTTTCATTCAGAAATCATTAATGATGATTAATTAATGTCATAAAGTTTGAGGTAACTTATCGATGTATATTGTTTAAGTTGTTTTTTTTTTCCTTTTTTCCCTCTTTTACATGATTGTGGTGATAATATCATGATGAATCACTTACGATATAATAAATAATGAAAGACTTGAAACTGTCATATTATCTAGCTCTTTCACTATTGATGATAGCACAACAGGAATGATTGCATGCTAACCTTTGGTATCAATTTTTAAAATTTAAGTTTCATCACTCTCCCGCTTTTTCTTTCTTTTTTTAAATAAATCTTTCTATCAAAGGATTCTTTTTTCTTTTTTTTTTGGAAATTTTTTAAAAATATATATTGCATATTAGAGAAGAAAAAGTGGAAGGAACACCGATGGTTACGAATAATTTTGTATCGTCGTTTCCATTTCATGATAGTATTTTCGTGTTTTCAAAATAGACTTTTATGATTTAATAGAAGGACAAATTTTGATAAGTTAAAGAGGTTATTCGAGCATTAATATATCAAAAAAGAAATAAAAGATGGCAAAAAAAACCTGTGAAGGTAGGAGAAGGAAGGTGAGCTGAAAGAAAGAGAAGGTGTTTGGAAATACAAGATGACGGGGAGAAAGTTGAATGCCGAAATAGGATGTGGAACGAACAAATTTAAAAGAAATTGAAGTAAATTTTTTTTTTTAAGATGAATCAGGTTAGAAGGTGTTGAAGACGAGTGATAGTTGCTGTCTGGTATCTTTTAATAGACCAACATCATTTTGATGGGTGAAAAGAAAGGAGCGAAAAAAAAGCAACAACATAACATGAGATACAAAAAAAGAAATTTTGTTGTGCCCGAATGAAAAATAATGAAATTTAAAGGTGTATTTCCTGTTCAATGTAAATAAAAAATTGTCCATTTCGGGTGGTTCAACAGAAACAGTAGGTACCATAGAAGTGTATGTTTGGATTTTTGAAAGAAAAAAAAAAATTTTTACAATTTGTCACTTCTTCAGTAATGATAATGTTGATTGGTGAAAGAGAAGAGTTTAAAAGACATGAAAAATTATACTGAATGCAAGAACATATAAAAGATTAAATGATTTAACACCTTTTTTTCCCCCCTCCTCCCTCTCTCATATCTTCTTAAATTCGTTTGAATGTTATTTCTCCTTCAATAATTGTTTTTATTTTCTTTTCTTATAAGTTTTTCTTTTTTTTTCAAAATGTACCCATTCGTTAAAATTATTAATGAGCAGAGTGGGAAAAAAATGAGTTTTTCAAAAAAAAAAAGTTTCTAATGAAATAGCATTGAAGGAGCCATAATTAAAAACTGTTAAAGAGTTGTTTGAAACGAGTGAACAAATGTGATAATAGATTAATGGCCGAATTCTTGTCAATTTTTCTAACTCAGACTTTGGTGCTAATTAACTAACTTTCATTTAACATGAAGTCAACCCATAATAATTTACGAGCAGAAGAATTCTTTCTTTTGTTTCTTAACGAAACTAAACTGACTAATTGGAGGTAAAAATGAAGCTATATTTTAGAAAGTTTTGTCTATTTATCCTCTTCTTTATATATATATATATCAATGTTCATTACTTGGGTTTTTGTTTATTGGTATGTGAGTTACGGAAACGTAGATTAAGGATACATAAGTTGTATTTCGAGTATCCGGAAGTTTTCATAGATTTGTTTTATACAGAAATTTGAAGTCTTATACATTCAAGAAGTTTTGCATATATGTAATATACATGGTTTTTCCAAAATATTTGGCATTGAGATTGTGGGCCAAATTTTATTTCATGGGTTGCGCATAATAATTGTTACAAGTGCTGATATAAGTGATACAAACGCATGTGAAATTCTAGTCAACAGTACTAGTGATCGAATTATCCCATATAATATTTGTTGATTGAGATAGTTATCGGTAATTTTATATGTTCTTACAGGTGCTTTTAAAAATACCAAAAAGCCGGTAGTTTCAATATTTGCATGAAAATGAAGAAAGGAGATGTTTGGAAATCGAAAGAGTACCATTGGAATGATAGGAAATGTGAAGGAATTAACGAAACACTACCACAAATATGAAATTGTTCCCTTCAACACCCTTTTTTTTGCGCGGAAAATTCATGTTATTTGACAGTTAGCGCACAATTTAACCTTTTTATTTCTCTTTTTTTTTTCAATTTTCTGTTTTAACAAATTAGCAACTCATAAAGGTAAGATAAATAGGAGTGTGGCAAGGGAAACGAACTGGTATCGTTCTGTGATTTCTCCGCTTTCTTTCACACATTTTTGTTGTTGATGATATAGTGTTTCGTTTCCGTTTTTTTTTTTTTTTTTATGATGACAACATATGATGATAATGATAAAAGTAATACTTGGAAAAAAGCGCAAAATTGTTATTTTATCAGATTTTGTATAAAAATTATTTAATTAATTTTTATTGATAATAATTCATATTATAATAATTTATATTACCTATCATCAATTCTATCATTTTATAAGTCAATATTGTCTTGTTTGGGTTCAGCATTAGTGTGTTTATTATGATTAGTCTTGCCAACAACAAAACATGATTGTCACTATCAAAATAATCCCCATCTTTCAGAAATAATCTAATCTTGATTAAAAAATTAGAAAAGGATGAGAGATGATAAAATTGGAAAATTTATCATTCCATCACTGTCTTACAATTTCTGTATTCTTGACGATAGTTAATATTGAAAAAAATGTACTTCTATTTTAAGGCGTTTTAACAATCCAATTTCTCTTTTTCCTTACACATTTTTATTTTATTTTTGTCTTGTTCAATTTTTATCCTTCGACCATTAATTAATAAAAAAGATAAAAGTTTGGGAGATGATAATGTTGTTTTTTATAGCTGTTGGACGAGTTAATTTTACATTCCATTGGATATTAAACTATGCAAAATTTCCTTTTTTCCTATGATAGTTTAAGCATTTAAAAATTACAGATGTAAAGCGGAATGATGATTCGTTATAAAGAAATTAAAGGATTTAATGTAGGAATTGGTTGGTATGGTATAAGCCGTTGAGGAAGTTAGAAATCAAAAGTTTTCGATAATGTAAGTAAGAAAATTATAAATGAATGGGAAAATTTTTTGTGTAATGAATATCAGGCTTTTGTGGCTCTATATATTAAGGATAAAATTATAATTAAGAAAAAAAGAAATATACATTTTTTCAAAATTTATTGAATTTCAAATGTATATATTGATATATACTTCAAAAGCATTCCACCTACTTCATTTGTCCTTGTCTAAGAATTTTGTAACTAAAGCACAATAGAACTGGATAGCTGATGAAGAATGGATCTTTAGAGATCACATTTGTTTATTTTTAAATGATGATAATTAAATATTGTAAATTTCTTGGAAAATTGATCCAAAATTTTGATACAATTCACTTTCAGATTTACTTTATAGGAAACTGTATTAACACTGTTATTTAAAAAATCTCCTTTAAATTACATAATCGTCAATGATTTTTTATTTTTTAAAGCAAGTGATTCAAAACAATTCACTTTTTTACATTCTCGAATTTCATTATTACATCTTTATTCATCATTTTGCTTTTAATTTTTTTTTTTATAGTTAGGCGGAAGCGAAATTGGTCGAAAAACACTGCGCATCAAAGGTATCTACGCACTGTTACGGGAATTTGATCGTGCTTCATTAGCTTTATCAAAGAAGAATTCACTGGTAACACCACCAATGATACCAGTTGCTGAGGATGGCATTACGAATGCCCATTCCCAATCTGTAATGCATGATCGACAAGATCTGCAAGTTGCGTCAATAGTTCATGATAATCGGGAAATGACTGCAAAAACTACTAAAACGCAAGATGTAAAATTTCTCGGTGAAACTGGAAATTTAATATACATAGATGGACAAAACTGTTCGACCTTGCATGCGTTGATTGGATTACTCATTCAGGACTGAAACTTTGGATTCATATATATGGAACAACGGAGAGAAGGTAATTATGATTTCGATTTTTTGGATTTTCTTATTTACGGTATGAAGCAGGGCTCAATAGAGTTTCAAATTCCTCCTCTTTTGATCATATTTGGAAAGACTGCTGAGGAAATTCATATTGAATAATGTTTCAATGCGTTATAAAAGGCTGTTATGGTTGCTAGGTACCATGAGAGGGCGATCTGTGCTTATATTCATTCTAATTTTTTTCGAATGCGGTAAAAAAATATTAAAGTAGGTCATTTTAGGGGTAAAGGATGTTCTATAAAGAATGAAGCCTTATTTGATCTTGATTCAATGTTCATGATTTGCATATTTCATAACTTTTTTTCGTAAAGTACTGGATCATTTCATGATTTTGTTTAATGAGACGATATTGGTGAAATGCATATTTGTTGAATGTTATTTTAATATTGTATACGAGTTCGCTGTTTAAATAATTATTTTTATGGCCGGAATATTTGGACGAAATACTTCAACCCTGTTAGTGGTAATACTCAGACTCCGAACTGAGCTGTTTAATTTGATTTAAATAATTTGTATTACATCGAACTTGTGCGTTAAAATTGTTTTGCTCCGTATCCAATTTATCTCTTTCATTTCGTTCCTTCTTTTTTGCTTTCTTGTTTTCGCTCCTATGAAATATTCATCGCAAAGATGATTAGATGTTACGTGTCATCCTTCCATAATGCATTATATACCACAGGAAAAGTTTTAATCTAAACTTCCATGTTATGATTGCTCAAAAAAAATTCGACATAACTAAGAATCTAAACTTATCAACATTTTCTAGTAGATCCCCGGAAATTTCGAAATTTAAATTAAACAAAAAGAATTGTACTCTTCCTTTTCTCTCTTAAAAAAGAGAGAGAGAAAAAAAAGATATACCATGTTGACATTTTAACATCGATTATCTTTCACTTACAGCGTCTAATTCGACGACTATCTTCACCATATGGTGTTAAAAACTTGTTGTCACACCAGAAATATGTCGCAATTAAATCAGATCTAATTCGGTCGTGCCAATCGACCGTTAGTGTGTTACATTTTGACAGAAATTTCGGTGTTATGTCAATAAAATTAAGTTTCTTAATGATGATGAATGAGTAGTAGAGTTGGACCAATGCGCAGCAAATAAGCCTTATTTATACATTATTTCATTTATGGAACAGATGTGACAATTATTTGTCATTTCTTTGAATGGCTAGTAAAAATACCAGCTATATAACAATATAAACAATAACAAATTTTATAAAGATTTGCATAATATTAGTTTTATTTGCATTGCACACGATGACATTCGGTCGATCTTTTCCCCCTTTTTTTTAAGCTTGAAGCAGTATGATTAAATTGGAATATAATTTAAATCTTTACTCAAAAATAATTACCTGTTACATGAAGCAAGTATCATATACTATTTCCATTTTTTTTTCGAATCATATTTGGTTATTGTTTATATGCATATATAAACAAACCACTGTGAATTAAAATTATTTTAAAAAGTAATCAAATATCTGAAAATTGAAATTCATTGTGAAAATGAAAAGAATGTATAATGAAAAATCAATGATTTCATTCATATGCTTCTCCGCTTTTTCCTTTCTTTTTGTTATTCAATAATTCGATACTACTAAATTTAAATTTGGTAATATTAATTTCGAAATATTTTTAATCATAATTGAATCGAACGAAAGAAAGGAAGCAATATTTCATTCATTTTCTCTGATATTACTAGTAGTTGGGAATGTTACATTCAGGTAATTTAATAAATTACTAATCATGTTAGCTGTGGGCGTCTGCCATGACATCAAAGTATTGGAGACAATTTCTTCTACGTTTATCTGTATGTATTTGTGTATTTCTAAAACAAACTTTTCAGGCGTTTCTTTTTTTTTTTAAGCGGGAAGAGAAAATTATGACAAATGTAAATGTTAAAATTTTAAAATAAAAAAAAATAATAATCAAGGTTTTGTAAATTTCAAAAGAAGAAAAAAGAAAGACAATAATTAAAGCAAAGGAAAAACACAAAAACAAAAAGCCTCACTTGAAAAAATTTCGCTTGACACAAACAGACATAGGTAAATTTATAATTTAAATTTAAATTTAAAAGAATTGAATTTTATACTGATTAAGCGAAACCTATAACCATTACTCATTAGTTAGTATTACCCTTTAATTATTAATTAGAACCAGAATAAAATTCAACAATTCCACAAAGAGTTATAGCAATAATTTTCAACTAAATCAAAAATGAAATTAATTGTTGACAAATAATAGAATGTATCAAAAAAAAAAAAGAAAAAAAGTGCACTGTTGATTAGAAATTTATGATAAATATAAAAAATTTAGTAATTCATTATACAGTTAATTAATTTGTTGATTATGAATATGTTTAATTAATACATTCATTCAATATATGTACAAGTATATTAAAATACAAATTCATTCTCATTTGATCATTCATAAACTAAATATGCTTCAATTATCTCAATTAAATTATTTAAATTTAAATTAAAAAAAATACTTTGGGAGGTATTTTTGATCGTATCTATTGATATCAATTTATAAATGATCGATGTTTTTTTTTTTTTTTTTAGAAGTACCATTCATTTTTTTAATTTTTATATCATATGCAGTATAAACGATGATAGTATGAAAATGATTTTATAAATGTATATATTGGTACTAGTATTGTGATATCAAGGTATTACTATAAAATAAATTACTGTATATCTAAAATATGCTATGGTACCATTATATGATTATGATATCATTTGTGATGAATAACATTACCGTATACCTTAAGGTTATCTTCATTTATGCATATCCATGTATTTATCCATTTTAACATTACCTATGATTTAGCAATGCCTTATGATCATCTAACGTTGTAAAAACCAAAATGCAAAAATACATTCCAATAATTTACGTGTCTTAGAAAGTAACACGTACCTGGTCAATCAATAACATATCTTTCAAGTAACACGTCCATTGCATCAGTAATAACATATCATACATAGTGTCACGTACGTCAGCAACAAACATTTCAGAAAATAACACGTCCATTGCGTCAGCTAAACTTTTTGGTTTACCATACACTTAAGCATAAATGTATCAAGCAATAACTGATGCTTCTGAATATCACGTATCATTTGTCATCATATCACGTACCCTATTTGCACTTTTGTGTAATGTCAACATAAAAACCAAAATTAAAAGAAATACATCACAAAAAAAAAGGATATTTGTATAACTTCACGTCACCTTACGTCACTTTGTGTCATTTTACGTAAACTATATGATCGATGCAAACAGTGATGCCGAAATTTGTTAAAGTATATAGCAACAACAAAAAACATATTCCTAAAACTTATCTCGTCATATACACATAGCATTACTTAACAGTAACTATTGTCACGTACGTCTTAATGATCTTTCTCTCTTTCATTCCATTATTACAGTATATGGAGTAAATGTCACAATTTTTTCATCAACCTTAGATTCAAGCAAATATTATAATACCGTATCCTATAAAAGTTATCAACGAAACCATTCATTCATTCATTCATTCCTTTACTCATTCATTCATTCGTTCGCTCATTCATTCATTCATTCATTCCTTTACTCATTCATTCACTCGCTCATTCATTCATTCATTCATTCCTTTACTCATTCATTCATTCGTTCGCTCATTCATTCATTCATTCCTTTACTCATTCATTCATTCGTTTGCTCATTCATTCATTCATTCCTTTACTCATTCATTCATTCGTTTGCTCATTCATTCATTCATTCCTTTACTCGTTCATTTATTCACTCATTCATTCATTTATTCATTGATTCATTCATTCGTTCATTCATTCATTCATTCATTCTATCATTCAGTTTAATATATGTAACATGACGAGCACATCTTTTCGACGTTATCAAAGATTGTTACTTTTTATCAGTGAATTTAAACGTAACGTTTTAAATGTATATTGAATAATTTTTCTAACCTAATAGATATTTGTTGTATTTCATTAATTACAAAACAGATTTGACAATTTTGATTTTTGGGCTTTCTCATAAAAAAAAAGGGTAGGTGACAAGGAAGTATTGAATGAAAAGCAAAAAAAGAGGGCTGATAACATTAGGTAGCAGTCGAAAAATAGTCAAGATCATTTTGAGAATGCGGAAAAGGTATGACAAAAAAAAAAAAAACGAATAGCATTTTTGGTGAAAGAAGAGAAGAAAAAGGAAATAATGAATTCTTGTTTCTTCCATAATGATATATATAGTTGATATGATTAGTGAATGATTACAATGGTTGATATTGATAGATGTTTAGGAATAATGATAATGATTGTAGAAATGATGATGATGATGATGATGATGATGATGATAATGGTAGGAGTGATGGTTGTTAGTTAGTTTGACTGTTTGGTGTGGTTAATGATGGTGATAAAGGTTGGTAGTGGTTGTTGATGGTGGAAAAAATTGGGATGAATTTAAAATGGGTACCGCCCAATAAGCAGCAATAGTAACAGCATCAGGAGAGGAGTCTTATCTTATCTCATATAAAAGGGAGGGTGAAAAAGGAAGAAAGAGGAGGGGTTTTTTTTTTTCTCTCTTTAATCATTCTATTCCATCCTTTTCCCCATTATCCTATTACCAATAAATCCCGCCTTTCAGGAAATCTTACATTTCTCCCCCGCCTTCTCTCAGAAATTTCTCCCACCCACTTTTCTATCTTTTTCATTTTCATCCTGTATTGCTTTTCTCATCACTCCACCCCTTTAAATGATGAAATAACCAATAAGATGCTAAATTGCCCACCTAAATGCTACCATTCACAGAACAAAATTTTATTATACATACATACATACATACACACACGCACAGACAGACACATACACAGGCAGACACACACATACATACATAATACATATATATACACACACACATACACATACACATACACACACACACACACATATACACACATACACAGATACATACATACATCCAGAGAGCAGTAAACACAACTTCCAAAGGTGTCAATTTCGTCAGTTGTCCTTGCTACTGCTCCTATCGAAAAGCTGTCCGCCCGCGTGTTATTCAAATGTGTCCATCTGTCCACTTATTAATAAACCACAAATTAACATCATTATTTCTCATCCTTATTATCATCCTTATCAATATCATTATCATTATCATCATCATTATCATCAATATCAACAATAGTAATGGATATTCAACGACATTTGCTTATACATTGTACTGTATTCAAATGTATGAATATATGTGTATGTGACTGTCGGTGTGTATGTCAGTGTTTGTGTGTATATGTATGCATGTATGTATGTGTATGGTATCATATATATATATATAGGTTATTAGATTTTGTTATTATTTATTGAAATCTTGTAAATTTTAAATTGCAAAATTTTCTCTTCCGTTTTTTTAAAAATTCCAATATACCGTATCATTCAATACGATACATTAGGTTACTCATTATTTCGTCACTATTAATATCGTATATTAGATGATATATTCATTTTGGTACTAATGATACGATACGATATGCTATTAGATGAAATATTCATTTTGGTATCAATGACATGATACGGTATGTTATTAGGATTTTACTAGGTGAATTTTGATGCTAATGATACGAGATACGATATATTAGGTTTTTTTTTTCCATTTTTATTAATACGTTTGATCACATTTATGCCTAAAAATTTGTCGCATATATTTTATTTGATTTTTAATTATTTAATTCAAAAAAAAAATTATATATCACAAATTAAAAAAAAAAGATTCCTTCTACAGTGTGCATATTATCGAATGGTTATCGAATTGGTTGCTAATATGGTACTATCAACAGTTGGATTTATTTGCTAATTAATTACTGTAATTGATTTATCGTCATCGAAAGAAAGAAATTGAAGAAAAGAAGGAAGGAAAGAAAAAAAAACGAAACAATTCTATCTGTATTATCACTATTATTACTGTTATTTGATATTATAATTTGCAAAAAAATTTGCTAATTCTAGCAATGTGTTAATATATATATTTTTTTTCCCTCTTACCGTATGCACATGGCATTTAATCCATTTTTAGCAAGGCCAGAATTAGCCTTGCTACCACCATATTTACAACCACCACCATTTCCATCTTTACCTGGTCCAACAGGTTTTTTCCCTCGATTACCAACTGAAATAACCGAATATACAACATCATTACCAGCAACAGGTACACGAATTACGGATGATGATGGTGTAATCGATGATCCAAAAGTGGAATTAGATGATAAAAATCTCTGGGATCAATTTTGTAATTGTGGTACCGAAATGGTTATCACTAAAAGTGGAAGGTGTAAAAATTTGTTTCTAATTTTTTTTTTCTTATCTTTATTTTTTAAAATTATAAAAGAAATTTAGAAATTACTATTATTTTATTTAAATTTACAAATTTTCCTTATATTAAAATTTTACAACAAAAAATTTTTTAAATTTTAATTTTAAAGTGATTTTTTTTGTTTAAAATTGATATAAATAAAAAATTAATATTGTCAAAATTTTAAGTTTTAATTTTAATTCAAATTCCAATATATATATTACTATCAAAAAAGAAAAAAAGGTTTCCTTCTTTTTTTTGGATTACAAATAACTATAATCCATTTATCATGCTAATACTTTAACTAATCATTGATCGTTTTATAAATCATATTTTGCTAAGGTAACCAAATCATTATCATTAATTTCCGTGACATTATTTTCTCTCTTTCTTTCTTTCTCTCTCCCTCTCTCTCTCCCTCTTTCCTTACTTTTTACATCCTTCATATATCACTTTTAAGCACATTTACCGTATTTTCATTAATCATAACTTAAAACTTACGTATGTTTTTGTTTTACTCTAACCTTCAATGACGTCATCCGTTTCAAAGAAGTTTTTCTTCTTCCTCTTCCGTTTTTCATTTTTCCATTTTTTTTTTCTTTTTTACCTTCTTTGATTTTTTAATTCCGGAACATTCCGGCATTTTTTATTTTCTATTTTAAGGAATGAAATTTTTTCGTATGATTTTATTCTGAGAATATATTTCATTTCCGATTTATTTTTCTAGTTATTTCAAAACTAAAATGAAATATTGTTGTATTTAACTGATAGCTATTTATTAGCATCCTTATCATTTATCTTTAGCTAATGTAATAAACGAATTAAATAATTGCCATAATTATCAATGGTTGATACTAAAATGGATCTACTATTTATAACAATCATTTCCTTATCATTCTTTTCCCTTTTTTTTTTTCATTCAATTCCGTCCAGTTATCACTTACAATTTACAACATATATCTTTGACATGTGCTAATATTTTAATAATATCTAATAGGAAGAAAAAAATTTTACCTGGAAATGAACAATTTTGATAAATAAATCTACTGCTAATGATAAATTAGTATTAAAAAAATCTCATTAACTCATATTTCTGATTATTATTTTAATAATTTATTTTATTTGTGATAACAGAAAGAATGGAATGAAGAAAGATATGATATAAAGATAAGAAATGATAAGTGATATTTTTGTATTGGTAATTTTAAGATTATATCAGTAAATGTATTAATAGTTAGATGTATGGATTAATGAATGAATGAATTAATTAATTAATTAATCGATTAATTAATTAATTAATTAGTGATAAACGAATAAATGAATAAATGAGTGAATGAATGGATAAATAAATGAATAAATAAATGAAAATGAATAAATTTATGAACAAATGATTGAATGATTGAATGAATGGATAAATGAATGAATGAATGACTGACTGAATGAATGACTGAATGAATGGATAAATGAATGAATGAATGACTGGATGAATGAATGACCGAATGAATGAATAAATAAATGAATAAATGAATGACTGATTGCATGAATGACTGAATGAATGGATAAATGAATGAATGAATGAATGAATGAATGATTGAATGAATGATTGAATGATCAAATTTCATTTTAGCTTAGATATTAAATTTAAAATCGATCAATGCAATCGATAAGCACAATTTTCAAATAGTTCGTTGACAACAATGGAATGATTGAATGATGAAGGAATAAAGACAACATATGTTTGAAATTGGTATAAATTTAAGAAAATTTGAAATGGCTTTTCAAGATTTCTTTTCTTCCTCTTTTATGTAAATTTAAGAATGGCTT